TATGGATGGTTTGTGTAGGTACAATATTTTTACTGCATATTTATAATGTACAGTCTATTTATAATTTTCCTTAATTTGAGAGGCTTTCACAGGCAGAAGTTGATTTCTCTTGAGAAGAGTTTACATCCCGAGAGATGCACTGCAAGGGAGGGGGGAGTAGGTACCAAATCTCCACTTGACACGAGCAAACCAAGATCCATGAGGTTACATGACACCAGCCCCAGTGGAACTAGTGAAAGGGCTGGAACAAGAACTCTGGTTCCTCCTAATGCTCTGTGAGTTCCCAGCACGTCCACGGGGCCTCTGTTCTCTCCACCTCCCTCCTCCTTCCTTCCCCAAACAACACGATCTCTATAGAAATGAATATCCTTCATCCTGAATTTTTTCTGACTTAAAAAAAACATTAAAGAAACAACTGTACATCCATGTTCATAGGAGCATTAATCACAGTAACCAAAAGGTAGAAACAACCAAGTTTCCATCAATGGATGTATGAGCAAATAATATGTGATCTAGCCACACAACGGAATACTACTCCGCCTTCAAAAGGAAGGAAATCCTGCTGCAGGTGACAACATGGATGAACCTTGCGAACATTATGCTAAGCGAAATAAACCAGCCTCAGACAGAAAATATTGTGTCATTCCACTTATAAGAAGAACTCAGAGGAGTGAAACAGAAAGTTGGGTGGTGGCTGCCAGGGGCTGGGGCCAGTGGGGTGTGGGGAGATGCTGCTTGATGAAGACACAGCTTTACTTTGTGAGATGAAGAGAGTCTGGATGTGAATGGGGATGACGATGTATGTGTATGTACTCAATACCACTGAACTGTACACTTAAAAATGGACAAGATGGTTAATTTCATGTTACGTGTGTTTTGTCACAATTCTTAACAATTTTTTAAAAAAGAGTTGAGACTACCTGGATTTCACCTCTAAATGGCCAAAGCATCAATTCACTTCAATCCACTAGGATGAGAGAATTTCTCTTGGCGTCCAGTATAACTTCATACCACATCAATCATCCCACACACTTCATATTCCTATGTCTTCATTTCCACTATCTTTTGAGCCAACCTCCCCAATGAGGCCCAGTCTGCAGAAGTTCCATTAGCTGCTGATTTCCTGAATGTCAAGATCAAAGACACACTCATGTCTTGTGTTCAAAGGCACAAAACATCTGAGACATTCTGCCATGAGCCACAGGATGCCTACATGCTAGTCCTACAACCAGCAATCTATGTCCTCACGGGGCCTCCACAGTGGAGACTGTAGGACTACAGATCCTAGGAGTCACTCTGACCCACAAACTATGAAGTCAGGTTGAAACCGAGAAACTGCTTCCACCCCACACACAGCTGCATCCTCGGAGCACTTTGTTGAAGACAGATGCCCGCCTCCAGTGGAAATCAGTGGTGATGGCCATGTGACTGCCTTGGCGCACTGTGTGTGGATTTTAGTTTCTGTCTCCAGTGCAGGCCTATTTTGCCTGATGTGGATTTTTGTTCAAAACCAGTATCTCCTTTTCCACATTTGGAATGAAAAGCAAAGCAGCTCCCTGGAGCTCTGCCCTGTGGCCTGACCCTGACCACTATCTCTCCCTGGAAAACCCTCCTTCTCCAACAGGGAACAGCCCAGCTCCTGTCTCACCTTTTCATGGCAGACCCTGTTCTGTCCTCCACCCTCCACCCTCCCCTTCACCACACAGCAGGCTTTCTTACCCTTGGCACTATGGACCATCTGGGGCTAGATCTTCTGTGTTGTGGGGTCTGTCTTGGGCATTGCAGGCTGTTTAGCAGCATTCCTAATCTCTACCCACCAGAATTATCCCATCCACCAAATCCCAAATTTCTCCCAGCACTGCCAAATGTCCTGGGACCAAAACCATCCCTGTTTAGAACCACTGTTTCAAAGAAACAGAGGCTTCAGGGAGGCCCAGGGCTGCCCAGCTAAAAATCAGATTTCCCAGTCTGGTCCCCGCCAAAGACCTGTGATCAGGGCTGGCTGACTCCCTTGTCTAAGGGAAGAAATGCTGCAGTGAAGTCCAGGATCCAGAGTCCCTCCCAACCACACACCAGGCAGAGGCTGAGCCTTGATGGGTGGTCACCCTCACCTAGATCACTTCACAGCCTGCCTTGCAGGGTTTTCTCCTGCATCCCCTTGTGGGTTGAATTCTGTCCCCCAAAGGTGACCTGACATCCCAGCTCCCAGGACCTCAGAATGTGACCTTTCAAAAGAGGGTTGCTGCAAATGTGATTAGATGAGGTCATCCTGGAGCAGGGTGGCCCCTAATCCAACATGACTGATGTCCTTATAAGAAAAGACACAGAAACACACAGAGAGAAGGCCATGGGAGGAGGGAGGCAGAGATCAGAGTGATGCAACTGTAATCCAAGATGGCCAACAACACTAGAAGCTGGAAAGAGGCAAGGAAGGATCCCTCCAGGCTTCAGAGGAAGCATGGCCCCGCCAGAGCTTTGATCTTGGACTCAGAACCTCCAAATTGTAAGACAATAAACTACAGCTCTAAGCCACCCAATTTGTGGTGCTTTATCACAGCAACCCTAAGGAAACCAAGCCACCTCGAAATTCTATCTCAAGCTCTGCTTCTAGACACCCCAACAGACAGCTGATGTGCCCACTCAAAGAGCATACACTCCAGAGTAAGCTTGAGATGGGAGTTGAGACTCTCGCCTTGATTTCCACAAGCCTCTCATCACAAGAGAAGGAAGAAGAAGAAGGCAGGAAGGGAGGAAAGAGGGAGGGAGGGAAGAAGGAAATTCGCTTTGGGGATCCTTCTATCCTCCACTCATTCAGTAAATATTACTGAGCACCATCACCTGCTCGTCACTGTTCCAGGAGCAGGGGAGAAAGAAGTGAATGAAACAGACAAAAGTCACTGCCCTCACAGGGTTCACCAACCAGCAGGGGAGACAGACCATGGAATACACAGTCTGTGGGACGGTAAGTGCCACCGTGGAGAAAATCAAAGCAGAAGAAGGGGACGGCGAGCATCCAGGCGGGGGTGAAGCGACGGATGCTCCCACAGCCCAGGCTCAGCTCAGGCAGAGAGCAGCACCCCTGGGCTCCTTCGCTTTTCTGCCCCAGCCCTTCTGTGAGGTTTGGGCAGCCCACCTGGCCCCTGGGCCAGGATGGAGTCCACGCCCACCCCCGTGCCAGAATGGCGACCTTCAGAACCACCACTGGCTTTGACGTCCCTACTCTGTCTCCTCCTCAATCCTTCCTCTTGCTTCCTGGGATCACCTCCTAAATTAACGGCCTGCACCCACACCCCCACCCCGGCCCCAGCTTTCAGGAGAACTGCAGCAGGGCAGGCGCACCAGGAACTTTTCCATTTCAGCCAAGATAACACTTCAGCCAAGACCTAGAGGGGCCAACCTGTGGGCACGTCCCAATCCTCCACCTCCAGGACTCTGCCCTGACACAAAGAGTGGAATCTGGAATTTATCGTGTTTGGTGGGTCTTCCTTTGGCATCTGTGGATGTCAAGGGTCTCTGTACCCACCAGTGTCACAAGCCAGAAATACCAGGAAATGAACCTCCCCGTCCCCCAGCCCTCGTTCAGTGATTGACAGGAGGTGGTGTGTTAATACCCCATCTCCCTCGCCTCTTGGGAGGAAAGGCTCTTACGCCTATGTCTGATACTGCCTCCTGGTTTCCCTAGCAGGTTTCTGCTCCAGTCACCACAGCGGTGGCTGGCCTGATATCTGCGTCTTTTAAGTGACATTCCTACCTGCTCCTGGTATTTCCTCTGGTGTCACCTCCCTATTAAATGACTCCCTTGCCTGAGGGTACTAAGAGAGTGATAGCTTTGAAGATGTGTATACACACACATACAGTGTAGCAGCCCCTCCAGTCCTCATGTTTAACACGTGCATCCCAAATGTGATGCTGGATCATCAAATCCCTGGCCAACGGAGCTCAGCTTTAGAAGCACCTTGGTGTATTTGATGCAAAGTAATCCCAATTGCATTACAAGGATCACTGTCTGTCACGGATGGACTTGACCAGCCTCCAACTGGGTCTTTCCCCCCTGGACTCCCCCCACATCTTTTCACCCACAGTGGGTGTGCTGCTGTCCTGCAACCCACAGAATGCCCCAGGAAGGGACCCTAAAAGCCCACTGGGGAGAGGGCTTGGTCCATGGGTAGCTCCCCAGGCAGCCCACTGCATGTCACTGGGCTGCAAGAGGGAAGGAAGCTAATCTTACAATTCACCTGAAAAACAAACCATCCATCATCCCGGTCTTCAGGCCTCATCTTATTTTTCCCAGATCAATTTCTGAAAGTCAAAATGACAGATAGCTTCATACTCTGGACAATAATTCTCCTTAGTAAATAACCCAGCATCAATGACAAAAAGCTCCCGGGGCAGTGCTCGTTACCTGAATCCATACATGTGATATAATTTCATAGAAACACACACACACACACACACACACACACACACATACATACATACACACACATGCATGCACATGGGCACAGAGGATGCTGGTGAAGGGACTTCCCTGGTGGTCCAGTGGCTAGGTCTGCACTCCCAATGCAGGGGACCTGGGTTTGATCCTGGCCAGGGAACTAGATCTCACATGCCACAACTAAAGATCCTGCATGATGTCTTGTGTGCCGCAACTAACACCCAGTGCAGCCAAATAAATAAATAAACATTAAAAAAAAAAAAATTGGTGAAAATTGCATAAGGTCTAGTTTAGCTACCAACGGCAGTTTCTTGGTATCCAAGTGTACACAGATCCTACGACATTTACCATCCAGGCAGCTGGATGAAGAACACACAGGACTCCCTGTACTGTTCTTGCAACATCTTGGGAGTCAAAAAATTCTTTCAAAATCAAAAGTTTTTAAAAAGGAAAAAAAAACCCACACAAACAAAACTTCAATACTGAGATTAATCATAATCATAATCATAATCATAATCGTTTTTTGCAAAGCTCCCCCAGACAACACTGCCAACCCACCCCTTACCTGAGAACTGGGGATCAGCGCCTTCCACCAGTGGCCGCCCTTCACCAGGTCGACCTCGCACAAAGGCACAGCCACCTTGCCGATGACGCAGTGGCGTGAGAACTTATCGAAGTCCAGCACGGTCAAGAGCAGGGTCCTCCTCTGAGCCTCCAGGAAGGGGATCTCGAAGGTGTAGCGCTCCTCGAACACGGGCTTCTGGGTCTTGCGTTTGACTCCGGTCTGCTTGGAGTTCTTCTGGTCCGGCAGGAGGCAGATCTTGACGTAGGGGTTGGAGTGCGCCATGTCCTGGCGCGCGCCGTCGTGGGAGATGGGGGGCGGCAGGTCCCTGGCCTCGATCACCCGCACCGTCAGGTGGTTATGCAGCAGGTCATATTGCGTGCTGAAGTGCAGCATGCCCAGCTGGTACTTGGACAGGATCTCTGCGTCCGTCAGGAAGTCCACGTCGTCACTGTTGGAATCCAGGGAGTACAGGCGGGGCTCGAACTTCCTGAAGTAGTCATCCGGCGTATAGGTCCGTCTGAGCACCGAGGGCTGGATGGGTTCTTTCTTGGCGCTGAGAACGCCAAACTCGATGGGCTTAATATCAATCAGTGGGGAGCTGGGCCGTCTGGAGTCGAGACCTGCAAGCCCAGCAGGAATAACAATTAAAACCACCAAGTACTGGACTGGATCTGGGCCCATGCGTGAGATCAAGGACCATTTGTGGATTCTCACATTGTTTGCTCTGCTTCATAATGCTCTTTCCACATGCTCTCCACTCCTGGAAATCCTCTTATTTACTCTATGAGAGAAAGGGCAGCGGCACAAACCTCCCCATCTCCACGGCAGCTAATTGCCAGGCACTGCTCTAAATGCCCTGCATACACAGAGAAGGGAATGGCTACCCACTCCAGTATTCTTGCCTGGAGAATTCCATGGACAGAGAAGCCTGGCAGGCCACAGTCCATGGGCTTGCAAAGAGCTGGACATTTTGGGGGGCTTCCCTGGTAGCTCAGATGGTAAAGAATCCGCCTGCAATGCAGGAGACCCAGGTTTGATCCCTGGGTCGGGAAGATCCCCTGGAGAAGGGAACAGCTACCCACTCCAGTATTCTTGCCCGGAGAATTCCACAGACAGAGAAGCCTGGCGGGCTACAGTCCATGGGGTTGCAAAGAGTTGGACATGACTGAGCAACTAACACTTTCACACTCACAACCTTCACAAGGTATTAGCCAGTGACTATTACCTTCACTTTACAGATGAGGAAACAGAAACTCTAAGTAACTCACCAAAGGGCACAAAACTAGCAGGAGAAGGAGCCAGGATTCGAGCCCCACCTCTCTGGCCCCAGAGTCTAATCATTCCCCCACACTGCCTCCACTTTCAAAGAGTGGGCTCTGGGGTCAGTGTCTGGATCAAATTCCAACCCAGCTACTTCCTCGTGAACCACGTGAGTCCCTAGTAACCAGCCAAGTGACTCCAGGCACATTTTATACACTCGGTTTTCCCATCTGTAACATGGAGCCAATCATAGCAACCACATCAAAGACGATGTTGAAAACTCACTGAGCGATGCATGAAGAGGGTTCAGCACAGAACGTGCATGTGGTGAGAGGCGTTGAATGGTAACTGTTATACGTCTTCAAGGATCACATTCACCGCTCATCACTTTCGGGGTGCCTCTCCCCTCCCCATTAAGCAGAAGAGTTCACCGCTCCCAGGTTCATTGTTGCCATCTTTGCTCATCTCTCTATTCTAGCAATAACCTCATGGCATTCTTTTCTCTTTTAAAGCACTTAATTGAGGTATGACTGACACACACAAATTGTCCATATTCAATCTACACAACTTGTTGACTTGGGTGATAAGTATGCACCCGTGAATCCATTGCCACAATCTATGCCATAAACTATCCATCACTTTCAAAAGCTTCCTCTTGCCTTCTTTATTTACCTTCTTTTGTGTGTTTGTTAAGAACGTAAGATCTACTCTCGTAGCAAATGTTTAAGTACTCCACATAGTACTGTTAATTTTACACACTCTGCTGGAGTGGATTTCTATAACTTACTCATCTGGCATAAGTGAAACCAACACCTGCCTGGTTCAAGGTCCCCCAGTAACCGTGTCCTACTCTATAGATGCTCAGGAGTCTGACTATGAGATCCCTCATGTTGGGAAAATTACATAGTATTTGTTCTTTCATGGCATCTTGTTGACTGCCCAAATACCTGCCTGTTGGCTAAAACCATGAGCCTTTGCAGTGCATGACTGCACTCTGATAACTGTGTGCTAAATGCCATCATCTCTGTATAGAGCTGGAAGTAACATTTAGGAATCATCTAGACCAGCGCTATCCAAGATAAAATAAAACGTGAACCAGCTACAGACATACAAGCCCACAGTTCAGTTCAGTCACTCAGTTGTGCCCGACTCTTTGTGACCCCATGGCCTGCAACATGCCAGGCTTCCCTGTCCATCACCAACTCCCCAAGCGTGCTCAAACTTATGTCCATCAAAGCCCACAGAGGTAACTTAAAATTTTCTTGTAGCCACAATTATGTAAAAGTACAAAGAAGCAGGTGAAATTAATTTTTATATTTTGTTTAAAACAATATATCCAAAATATAATCATTTCAACATGTAATCAATATAAAAACATTTTAGTGAGACATTCTAAACTCTTTTTTCATACTGGCTTCAAAATCCAGTGGGTATGTAACACGTACAGTGCATCTCAATTCAGCTACATGCCTGTGGTGGCCGCTGTATTGGACAGCAGTCTGCAAAGGGCAGACAGGCCCTCTTATTCTACAGATGAAAAGACGGAGGCTACAGAAGCCAGACACCCATTCTGTTTCACTATTCCAAGCTCTTGAAATCTACTTCTTTCTTCTTCCCCATCCACTCCCAGAAAAGATCAGAGATCTCAATCATTTCCAGCTGAGTGGATTAGTTTCATGAATTTAAGCCTTTTCCCTCTGCTAAGTGAATTTCAGACATCAGCTGCATGAGACAGAGGAGACACACTTGGCTAGTGACAAGAGGCTGGGAGACTCTAGGCTTTACCCCCCTTTCTCCTCCCCACCCAAATCACGCCCTCTGGTCTATACCCAGGCTAGAGTGTGTGTGTGTGCAGAGCGGCCCACTCTAGACCGGGCCAAGGGCCAAATTCAACCCAGAGATGCATTCTGTTTGGGTTTAAAAGTAAGGAAGTTCCACATAAAAACCCAGACTGCCAGTTTCTCTTTAGAAAGGTCAGGCAATACAATCCCTCACGGCTACCACTGAGTAGCAGCTGCTCCCCTTCAATAAGACACTGGCTTCCCAACTGGCCCCAGTCCCCACCCTGCCCTAGTGCCAGGCCAAGAGTCGGCTGCCATTCGTCACTCACTAGGGTGATATTTATCTTCCGCCGGCCCTTGGCACTCAGCCACTGACACAATCCACCTGGCCCCTCAAGTCACTTGAATTTGCAGGCCCTGCTGTGTAACATGGTAACTAACACCTGCCTTTCGGGGTCTGAAATGATATATGCTGACATCGTCATCAACGGAGCCAATTCAATGAAACTTGTGATCAGTATAAACAAAAATCAGTCAAAATGATTGCTTCTGCCTGGACTTGGCAGAAATCAGGTATGATGCCCTCCTCTGTCACACTGCCATTCCCTCTCTGTCATCCTGTCTCCTAGACTGTCACACCACACTCCACTCCCTCCCCAGAGGTGACCCTGTCCTTCATATCTCTCGCTGGGGGTGCTGTTGAGCATCTGGGAATGCCAGCTCTTCCCCTTTGTCCTGGGGACCCAGACAACAGGGTTGTACTTCATGGACCCCAAGGGGCAGCTGACTTGAGCCAGGACCCCCGACAGTCAGAGCAGAGAGGCTTACTTGAAATCCTCCGGGTCAGGCTGTATGTAGACTTAGATGTGTCTGAGGACGAGCATCTCCGATCTGGAGAGTTGGTCCGTGGGGTCAGTGGGACGTCACTGGCTGTGTGTACAGAGTCCCCGTCCTTGTCACTGCTCCGGCTGGCCAACCTGTAGGAGGGAAGAGGTCTCAGTGACTGTCAGAGAATCCCCAGGGGCTGGCACCTCTGTCCCGTGGGGGACAGATCAAGGACGAAATTGGTCTCAGGCCCAGTCTATGCAACTCCGAATAATGCAAATTTGAAATAAACTCTCAATAGCCCTTAATTCTCAATAATGTCTTGCTTTTTGCACAAAATGTGATGTGAAATAAATGAATATATTTCCCAATTAGAACAATCTGCCAAGAATTTGCATAATTTCAAAGCTGAGGCTGGGGTGGGGGAAGGGATATGTAAACTTATTCAGGATATTGTCACACGGGCACCATCTGATTAAACCAAGATCAGTTCAGTTCAGTCGCTCAGTCATGTCTGACTCTTTGCGACCCCATGGACTGCAGCACACCAGGCCTCTCTGTCCATCACCAGCTCTCAGAGTTCACTCAAACTCATGTCCATTGAGTTGGTGATGCCATCAAGATGGGACCTGTCAGTCTTCAGTCTGGAAGGAAACACCTAGCTGTTTAAATGCATTAGAACTTCTGCAAGTAGTTTTTGGTAAGAATTGCCCTGTTATTTCAACAGTCACCATGTCTATAACATCTTTAAAAATTATCCTGTAACAATGTCACTCAAAGGTTCTTGGGACTTTCCTGGTGGTCTAGCAGCTAAGACTCTGTGCTACAAAATGGCTCTGAGAATCAAAGATTTAAGGACAATAGTTCAATGCGTAGAAACACCAGTAAAATAGTGGCAACCACAACTCAATGTTCTCCCAATAAAGATTAGAAATGCTGAAAAAATAGAAAGCACACTCTGTGGGATGGGGTACAAGGTAGTACATAAGGGCTGGCTCAAGGCAAGCCCCTCTCTCTCCCTCCATCTCCCCATCTGTAAAATGGGACTAATAGTACCTGCCTTACATGGTTACTTTGAAGATCGAGCTAACATATATAAAATGATTAGAACAGTGTTTGCTATGTTCTAGGTAGGTGCTCAATACATTTTAGCTGATGTTAGCAATATTATAGCGGAGGTGGCTTTAAGTTCCCCCAATACTCACACAGCTAGTGAGGATGCTGGGAGTGGGGGTAAGGGGAGGGGAGAGAGCTGGCAAAGTGGCCGTGAGATTGATGCTGCTGCTAATAAGCCCCTCAGCCATCACAGCCATAGACCAATACTTTCCAAGACTGCATCCCCCAAGTTGACATTTAAACCTGTGGAGAAACCAATCTTGAAAAATGCAACTTGCAAGTTCTGTGAGGTCAGACGCATCCTGTGCATGACATGAAACGGATCTGGCGTTCTTCCAAAACTAGGGTCACAGCTGGGACAAGCAGGCACGTTACGGGGGCAATGCCCCGTGCCTGCCACTCCTGGTCAAGAATAGGAAAACATAGCAGGTGAAACGAGGGGTCGGCGGGGGGATGGAAGGGAGACGGGATCACACTAGATCAATCTGTCTCCCCGGTAAAGGAAAGCAGCTGCATCTCCCCAGGAAGGCGGCCCCGACTGGGGCCCTCCACCTGCACGGCCTGTTTCCTGGCTGTCACACCTCGTGGCGGCCACTGCCTCCAGCTGCGAACTCCCATCAGTCTTCAAGGGTCAGCTTGAATGCCATCGCTTCCTGAAGCCTTGGCTGCCTCCTCTCAGACAGAGTACCGGCGTATACCTGGGCCACCCCTGCCTCCTCTGCCACCACCAAGCCTCCACGCCCCCTGTCCCTTCTACCTGGATGGGGCTCATCCTGCCCCATCACCTGTCTCGTTCCTCCTTATCATTCAGATCTCAGCTGCAGCAGCACCTCCTCAGAGAGGACCCACCCATCCAGTCGCCTCCTGCCAGCCTGTCAGCCCTTACCCCTGCACCTTTTTACCCCCCTCCAGCATATGCCTCTTTTCCAGTGTGGCCTGCCTGCTTCTCCTATGCATCTGACACTAAGCCAGAGGCCCATGCAGGCAGAGGGAGGCAGTGTCTTCTTCATTCATCACTGCCCTCTTTGCACGGCACCTGGCACGTGTTGGGTGCTCTGACTTATTTTTTCAGTGAATGAATGAATACACATTTCTGGTGGCTTTTATCTGACTTATCTTGTGTCACAATCACTTGAGTGCACGACTTGTCACCCCTCCCATAACAGGCTACAAATCTTAATGTTGGCATCTGATTATTAAGATCAAAGGTAGCAGCTACTGAGCCCCTACTATGTGCCAGACACTGTGCTAAATACTCTGTATGAACCATCATTTCAGGCTTGAAGCAATCCAGGAGTTAGTTGTTATGAACCACCCCTACTCCTTTTACAGACAGGGAAACGGAGCCCTGGTCAGTAGTGGGAGGGAAGGAGAATGGATCTGCAACACTAGATTGCAGAACCCCAGTGGAGTCCAGCAGTACCATACTCCGGACTACATGCCCCACACTGGCGAGCTGGGCATCCCCTAGGAAGCCTGAAAGAACCTTGCACATAGTAGGTACCCAACACATGCTTCTTGGACAAAGAAATAAGCTAATTCACTTTCAGTGGGGGTCTTTCTGGCACGGCCACAGAAGGAGCCAGTCGGATGGTATCATGTGGTGAGCTGGTTTTCCTGACTCTCATCAGCCCAGTCCAGCCCAGGAAAGCTGCGAGACAGACCCACGTGACAAAAGCATATGTGACAATTAATGGTGTGTCCCCTCCGATCACACAGGCAAAGACCCAGCTCATCTGCCACATGCCACCCCACAGAGAGGCACATTCTGTGGTTGCTGGCTCAAATGGCACAGTAGGAATGGTACTGCAAAGCCTGTACACTTGACATTTCTGCTCTCTGCCTGTTTGATAACATGCAACTGCCCTCTTGGTAAATAAATCTGGGGAAAGCACAAGCTGTAAATTCTCTTTCTGGAGGATTTAACCTGCCTCCTCTTTACAGATTTCTCTTAACATTTGGTATGATGTTGACTATCAAAAATGTCCTCAGTGCAATCTAAGATTCAAGGAAGACCTGGGTCATCTTGGGAAGCACACAGGTCATGTCCAGCTGTTCAGATGGTACACTGCACAAGTCTAGGTGGTCTTGTTCATAATGACCACCATGTGAAGGGCACCCCCTGAAGCTATGCGGTGGGCTGGCTGCTGGAAGTTTCCAGCTCACTTCTTGGCTTGTAGCATAACCAAAACAAGTGTCTTCCCTGAGAATGCCATCCCAGAAAGAACCCCTGCACAAAGGGTCAGCGACCTGAGCAAAACGCAACTGTCCTCCAGCTTCGTGGCCATACATCTCTAACACTCAACATCTGAGGCAAACAGGCTGTGATTTTCAATGTCTATCAGGGGTCTCCTCTGGTTCAGAAGAAAATCCAAGTTCCTTAATCTGGCATTTGAGATCCCACACAACCTGAACTTGCAGGCTCATTTTCTGATTCCCCCAACTCTTCCAAGACGCAGTGTCCCATTGTGTGGTGTTTGTCTACCCTGGATCCAGTCGCAACATCCAGATTGTTGATTACCCAGGTCAGCAAACTTGAGGCCCACTGCCTGATTTTGTAGAAGTGTTATTGGAGCATAGCCACGCCCATTCACTAGTGAATTGCCTATGGTTGCTTTCACACTACAAGGATGGAAGTGAGTGGCTGCAATAAAAACTAGTCCATGAGGCTAAAATATTTACTCTCTGGCCCTTTATAGGAGAAGTCTGCCAACCCCTGTTCGACTAGCTTAGTTCATGTGTTTCAGGTGGAATAACCCTTTCCCTGGTTTCAGGTCAGGAAACCCAGACATTATCCCAGCACTTTTTCCTCCAGGCAAGTGACTGGATCAAGTGATTGGCATGTGACCCAAACCAGAGCAATAAGAGCCTTTCCTGATATTTTGCTGCTGTCAAACATAATGCAAAGAAAAAAGAAGGCTTAAGAATGAGGCCAATACAGAAGAAATAGAAAGAAAGAGAAAGAGAGTACATACACGCACACCCATGACATCATTTGAGCCCCTGGATCCAGTTATGCCTGAAGCCATTTTCCCAGACTTTTTCCATAACAAAATTCTATGCAGAACTGTCATATGTATGTGCTGGATGTGAATACACAACTAATTTATTTACCTGCTTTATCTCCTATAGTGAAGTGAAAGAAAGTGAAAGTCACTCTGTTGTGTCTGACTCTTTGTGATCCCACGGACTGTACAGTCTGTGGAATTCTCCAGGCCAGCATACTGGAGTGGGTAGCCGTTCCCTTCTCCAGGGGATCTTTCCAACCCAGGGATCCAACTCAGGTCTCCCACACTGCATGTGGATTCTTTACCAGCTGAGCCACAAGGGAAGTCCAAGAATACTGGAGTGGGTAGCCTATCCCTTCTCCAGCAGATCTTCCTGACCCAGGAATCGAACTGGGATCTCCTGCATTGCAGGTGGATTCTTTACCAGCTGAGGTACCAGGGAAGCCCTTATCTTCTATACCAGATATTAAATCCCCTGAGCATGGGAACAGGACTCCATCTAGTCTTGTGCCTCCCACAGTGCCTGCTACATAGGGCAACCTCAAGAAATAACTACTGAAAAAACCAAGCTTAACTTTTCAACAGCATAATTGACACTTTCAGGACTCAATTCTGCCTTCAGGTTAATCAGCTGGTCGATAACTATTTTTTGGAATGAAAAAAGACAGATAATAGCCATGCCATCACAGAACTGGAATTCTTCTGAGCATGGCTTTAAAGACACCAGATGGGCTGAGCCAACCTCCATCACTAGAATATGGAACAATCCCGTCATTAATGAGCTGGTTTCACCAAACATCTCAACTCTATGCACAACTGCAGGGTTCAGGCTACAATCTGTGAGTCAGGGAAGGTTCCTCCACATAGTCTTTACATCAATTTAAAGACTCTCTCAATAACTAATAATGATAGAGATGAACACTTACAACTGTGCTAAGCATGTTACATGCATATGTCACTATTATTAATAGTAACCTTATAAAATAAATTCTATTACTTCCCCTACTTTACAGATGAGGAAACCCAGACCAAAATAGGGTAAAAAGAATCACTTATGTTTATGATTGCCAACAAGGTATTTTTCCATAAACTAATTCATGCAATCATCATAACAACTCTATAAGATAAATACTATTCTTTTTATCATCCCCATTTGACAGATGGGAAATCAAGGCACAGAGAGATCAAACAACTTGCCTGAGGTCACAGAACTGGAAAAAATTAGGAGAAGTAGGATTTGAACTCACATATTGTGACCCAGAGCCATTCTGCTATGAAAATATTTGATACTTGCTTCTCAAAAAACAATCAGAGGATTGAGGCATGACCCCCAAGGAAAGATGGGGTACCAGAGGCTTCTGGAATCTTAGCCCAAGGGTTTATCTGAGCCAGCACAGGATCCCCACTGAGGCTCCAGCTGTGGGCCCTCACACTGTCTTCCTACCTCCTGGGCGTCCTTCTCTACATCATGGGAAGCTGCACTGGACGATTCCCAGGCCCCGGCCCTCTAGATTCAACCCAGACTCTCTGGCCACGCTCTTCTCCCAGCCACAGAGAGGTGGCCCAGACACGTGGCTGAAAAGCTTCAAAACTGCATTCCCAAAATATCTGAGCGACTGGCAGATGGAGATGTTGTATGCAGGCGCGGGAGGAAAACGAATTGGAAATAAAACGAAAGATGCCAGAGAGAGCATAAACAGCGTTGGAGGACACGATGGAGCCTGGAGGTGTGTTCTGCTTCCCTGTTTCTGAAGTTCTTGCTCAGATCAGCAAAGAGGTACTTATTTGTTCATGTCATCCACACCAAATACTCAGAGTGTCTAGCATGGGCCAGGCGCGAGGATGGTTCATCATACTGACTTGGATGGAAAACCTTTAAGATCTGGACATCCCTTGAAGAATAGAGATGCTCACAGATCTCTTTTTCCACTTGGAACGACACTCAACAGGATTAAAAGCGCCCACATGCTTAGCATTACACAGTTCGTATCTCAGAAGGCCGGTTGTGAAAACCAGCAGAACTGAAGCCCCACCCCCAGCTGGTCTCACCAGCTTGCCAAATGCAACGAGGCACAGAGTGCATCTCATCAGCGACTAAGAGGTCAATGGAAACTCAGCCTTTCCCCCCTCCATACCCCTAAGTTGTCCCAGACCCCTCGCAGAAACAGAGGAAAGAAAAGTCTTAAGGTGGCTCTCCAGGAAGTTCAAAGCAGGTTTACTTACAGCCAGGGTGGAGTCTGGGCAGGAAAAGGTCCCAGAATCTCAACTTCATCCTCACTCGACTGGCAACAGCTGGACTCATAGCACTTCTGACAGCAGTGCCGGCAAGTCCATCTGCAGAGCAGGAGGTCGGAGATTCTAGAAAGGAAACCCTGAGCCCATGGGGGGAGGTGGGCAGAGGAGAGATGGGAAGGGGAGGAAGAAGAGGAAAAACACCCACAATTACAAGCAGCCGATTCCTGATGAGAAATAATGACATTCAGGAGGTCTGTCTCCACGGCTGATCTCTTAGAACAAAATGTTTTCCATTCCTATTTACCAACTGCAGGTACAAAGATGGCAAACACCAACCGGCTGGAGCCGTTAATAGCAAGCAAAACGTTTGCAGGTATTTTCCTTTGTATATGAACGTCTTTCCTGACATGTGGGTGGTTTATTCAACATCATGAGGGCCATGCAATATGTTCGCAAAACACAATGATTATTACTCTGTCTTCTTGAAAGCAAAGCACAAATATTTTTTTAAGATAATTTCATGACATTAAAGTAAACAGAGATAATCAAATGGAATAAGTAGAGGGTGGGAAGGGAAACCTAGTCTCATTAACTAGTATCTTTTCACCGGGATCTCCCTTCCCTAGAATGGCATCGAAACCGAGCCATTATCAACATCTGGTTGTTGTTTAATATTCAGCATCCCCACAGCCCTACAAAAGGCTCCAAAATGAAAAGCAAGCATTTCTTGATTAGAAGCCAGACCAAACAAATCACCGAATTCACTCACCTCATTTAAAGGTTCCAACTGCCCTTTTAGAGATCCACGTGAAGCCAAGGGGCACAGGGGGCGAGGGGTGACAGAGAGAGAGAGACAAGACCAGTTTAGCAATATTCCTGCAACTCAAAAAAAGAAAAAAACAAAGAAAAAAAACCAAGCCCTGCTTCTTTCCACTTACCATCCTGGGGAGGGAGCTGACCTCCTAACAAGGTGCTGCTACCTTCAGGGCTGCTGGTAGCCTTCTGGCTAACCAACACCGAATAAATGGGAAACTTTAGCATTTCGATTTGATTTGCACCGTATGCTGTTATGAATCAGAGCGGGTGGATAGATAGTCATGCTATCCAATGCAGCCACACTTCAGGAGAGGAGCAAACCTTCCTATACAGAAATAGCCATGAAGCCAACCCAGAAGGACATGATTAGCTAACTTGCAAGCAGGCACAGCATAGATGTCACTTGGCTCCCCCGCCCTCCCAGAGGCCCTACCTTCCAATTCTGGTCCAATGGTGGGGAGCTTCATATGACCACCCACAAATAGAGGGAGCGGAAAAGAAAGCCATAGTCTAGTCCCTGGGAAGAAGGGAGGGGCTCCCTTCCATCTTCAGCCCCACCCCCACCCCAGCCTCTTCTAACCAGTTCCCAAGGCACAGGCTCCCCCCACCCCCTTTCTGGGAAGGATCTTCACAGTCTTCCAAAAGGCCAAGTAAACCAGATAGGTTAGGCGGAGTCTCTCATGGAACTCAGAACTTTGAATCAAGAGGGAGAAAGCTAATCATCTTTCTCAGTTCTTTTGCAAGGTGAAGAAGGTCTTAATTTGGTATCACTGTATGTAACATCTTTCTAACAGTTGCAAATTCCACCCCTGCCTTCCTTTTTAAACAGACAGCAGACCCCAGCTCAGAGCCTTGCAGACAGACTATCTAGCTAGAATCCAAGAATGTGGCATTATTCTCATTGTATTTTTCCTATTGCCTTCAGTTTCTATCAGGTGACCCTGGTTTTCTATTATGGTAGTGACATGACGTTTCCTTTTCATATTAAAGTTAAAATAAAGCACAAGTCCATTTATAGAAAAGAAATTAAGTAAATAACATCACAGGTAGTACACAGCTTGTGAAAAACTCAAAATCCTTGAAGTGATAAGGGATTTACTGCAGTTTGGGAGAAAAAAGTCTTGGACACCAATCACAAGGGGCGAGAGAGGCCCTAGTCCTGGCCTCGCCAGCGGCCAGTCACGTGACTCAGGCAAGTTGGGAGTCTGAGCCTCAGTCCTCTTTCTTTTAATGAAAGGGCTAAGCTAGGACACTATGGAAAGGCTCTGTGCTGCCTAGATTCTGCATGCTTTCTGTGGCTTATGAGAACCAGACGGTTTGTCAAGTCCAATTGGATCCTTCCAGGCACCGGGGACTGTCCTGGTCGACAGAGTGGTGAGGCGAAGAAAGCAGCAAACAGCTAAGCCCTCACGGGGCTTGCATGAGAAAGGACTTTAACATGCTTATGGTAAAGTGCAGGGATAAAGGGATGCTTTTTTCACAATGACCCAGGCTCACAGGAAGGCATTTCCTGAGTATATAGTGATCAAAAGAGAACCATTTCTTAAACCATGATGAGCAGAGGCAAGGCTACCTTAGGGGTCCCGCCTAGGAACAACCATGCAGCTTTCACAAGGCCCATGTGCAAGGTGAGTGTTAGGGGGCAGAGAAACCAAGCAAGATGAAGAGGAAGGGGGAGATGCGCTGAGGCTCCCAAGCATGCTGAGTCTCTGGGACTCCGGCTCATGTGTTTGACCCAATGGAGGAGAACTGATTCAAGCCAGAAAAAAAAAAAAAAGAGGAGGAAGGAAAGCCCAGATATTCTAGAACAGGGGGTGCAAGCTATGACTCAAAGACCGAATTCAGCCTGCAGCCTGTTTTTCTATGACCCTCCAGCTAGGAAGGGTTTGTACATTTTTAACTGGTTGAAAAAACTTTCAAGATGAACACTTCTTGACTTATACAAAGTATATGAAATTCAGTTTCAGTGTCCACAAATAAAGTTTTATTTAAACTTAGCCATGCCCATTCATTTACTGGTGTCTCTGTGTAGTGTCATAACCAAGAGGTGAAGTGTGACACAGACCACTCAGCCCTCGAAGAAAAACAAATATTTACTATATAGGCCTTTACAGAAAAAGTTAAACACTTTGTTCTAGAAAAAAAGTCAACATCACCAGGCCATCCTCATACCAGATGCTTAACAAATCCCTCACCAATCCCCATCCCACCCCCCTGTAGGCCTCACCACTACCTCTTAGCCCCTGGGTGGCCTTGGGCAAGTCACTTCATTACTGGGTGCCGAAGACAGTCATTAAGAACCGTAGAAGCCCGTTCTAACATGGTTCATGCCTCAGTGCGCGGTCCCTGATGGGCAGGGACCATGCCGCCTTCTCAGCTGTGTTCCCGGTGCCCACACATATTCCATGTCACCCAAGTGTTCCGGGAACCTGTTCAGTGGCCACTTCCCCCAACAACATCCCCACAGTAGGTGAACAGTAAATGTGACCTTCATTGAACTTGAAAAGATGACCTAAGGATTCCCTGAAAGGGAAGTCAATGGAGCGAATCTGAGCCAGGAGAGGGATGGGGCGGCTATGGGCAGATGGCAGGGCAGAGCTCCTGGCCGGTGGAAAAGTCTAAGGACAGGATGAGGGGGTGTGTGAGCCAAAGGCGGAGGAGGGACCAGAAGCCCCTCCAGTGGTGGGCGAGGGCAGAAGCCAGCCCAGAGGCACCCTGAATGTAGGAGCCCGTCGGTATCACTGCCAGGGGCAACGGAGCCAGCCGGTGCCAGAAGCAAGCAGCTCAACGGGTCTGACCGCATGACCTTGGCGCTGCCCAGTCGCCGCTTCCCCCCTCGTAGTGAGGAGACAGGTCTCAGTCAAGCATGCCCTCCCCAAGAAAAGGTGCCTGGAAATTATTTCAGCCTAAGGATTCTTGCGGGGTGGCCCCAAGATGAAGGGGGGGGTCCATAACTCCCAAGGCAATGGCCCAAAGTAATCGGCTGCCCCCCAACACCACCAGCGCGCCTCCGGGGTGTCCCCCACCCCTCAGCACCCAGTGCCCGGGAGAGACGATGTCCTTGTCCCTCCCGGCCGGAACAGCTGCCTGCGGCTCGCTCCGCCGGCCAATTAGCCGGAGTCGTCACCAAGGCAACGGCGGCAGGCGGGCCGGGCTGCTGGCGCGCCCCGGGCCGCCCTCCCCGCGGCCCCTCCCCTGGGGTGGGGTGCCCGAGGGACGGGGTTGGGGGAGGGGGGAAGAAAAGTCCGCCCCACCCCCATTCCTTCCCCAGGAGGCGAGGGCGCTCGTGCGGAGTCCACTTGGGGCCCTTCATCCCAGGGTGTGGGGGGGTCCCCAGCCTCTTCTCCTGGGGCGCACCCCCGCTGCTGCACAGGTTGCCTTGCGCTCGGGCACCCTTTTTCTCGAGGCAAGTTTGTGGCAGCCCAGCCGTGTGCCCTCCCTTCCGCGCGCTCACAGTCTGAGGGGGCGCGGCACCCCCCTCACCCCACATCGCGGACCTGGCCCCCCGGCCTCAGCCCTACCTGGATGTACGCCATTTTCGCCCGCGCGCACTCACTCCGGCCCGGGCATGGCGCCGCCACGGCCACTTTGCCCTCGCCAACCGGAGAGAGGGGAGAAAGCAAAGGGGGAAAGGAAGAAAAAGGCAGCCGGGTGGCCCCAGACGTGACTGGCGTGGCTGATGAGCGGCGCCCGCCCCTCCGCCGGCCGCCCCGTCCTTGCCTTCCCCTGCGTTCCGGCTCCGGGAGTCGGGGCCGCCTCCCAGGTTGGGAGAGCTCGGGCGCCCAGGGCCCCCGCCTCGGCCTCCCTCGCCGTCCCGCGCTCCCCCCGAGGCGCTCCCCAGGCGGGATTAAGGCCGGGGCGCCTGGGGAGGGAGCCCGGGGCAGCCGCGGGGACTGCAGCGACCCCAGCGCAGGCGGGGCCGGAGACGCTGGGGCCCGGGCGCGCCAGAGGCGGGGGAGGGGACCGGGACGGGCAAGGAGGTGGGAGGGGGCGGTGCGCGGGTCAGCCCATCCGGTCGGCACCGGGGCTGGCACCTACCGAGAGCAGGGCCCCCGGGGCGGCCGTGAAGCTGAAAAGGCACGGTCCAGCCCGCCGCAGAGTCTGGAGCCGGGAGGGTCCTCCCCATCCAGCCCTTTCCTAGACCGGGATGGAAAAACTTTATTCCCGCCCCACCCGACGCGCCTAGAACTGTTGCGGTGAGGAACGCAGAGGCCAAGCGAATGGAAGCCTCAAGTTAAGATGGGGCCTTGGGCGCCCCGAGGGAGATGCACTGGCGAGGACGGCAGGGGCGCGCGGAGAGACCGGAGCGTCCCTTTACCCCAAACCTGCTCGACTTGCGCCCTGGGCGCAACAGGTCTGGCGCGGGGCGGCCCAGCAGCGCCACCCAGCGTCGCGCCCAGCGTCCTGCGCGTCTCAGCCCGCGGGAAGCTCCGCTTATGTCTGGCAGAGTGCTAGTGAGTGTGGATGCTCAGTCCCCTGTCCATGGGATTCTCCAGGCAAGAATACTGGAGTGGGCTGCGTTCCCTCCTCCAAGGGATCCTCCAGACCCAGGGATCGAACCAGGTCTCTTGTGTCTCCTGCATTGCAGGTGGAATCTTTACCACTGAACCCACCTAGGAAGCCCAGCAGAGTGCCTGACTCCTCTTAGCTTTCTGAGGGGGGCACAGCAGCTCTCCCCAGTTTACGGATGGGGACATTGAGATGAACAGAGGGACAGTCACTACCAAGACAGGACAGCTGGCAGCTGGTGGCTCTGGCATGTGAACCCACGTGGTCTGCATTCCCAAAACCTGGTGTGTATCCACGATGTTTCTTTTGCAGTGATGGGAAGTGATGCTTGGTGGGGTGAGGGCTTCACAGACGAGGGGTTCCTCCTGGGATGGGTGCTCCCCCCAGGGGCTTGAGGAAAGTGGAGGAGTTTCCCAGGTGTTCCCGTGAGGATTAGCTAAACTTTTTGAGACTGTGTGCCAGGCAGGGCTTTACACCTTTTAAAACTTTTCACAACAAATTCAATCTTTTAATTCTCTGATAGGCTTGAGGTGGTGGGTACTGTAACTGTTCAACTCTTTTAGATGAGAAAAAAAAGGAGGTGCAGAGCCGTGAAGTTTCCCAGGGGCTGTACATATAGCGTCAAGAAGCTGGAATTCAAGCCTAGACTCCCTAAACCCAAATCCTTTCCTAGCCACTGCTGGATATTGGGGGGAGGGCGGGTGAAATCCTTAGGGTTAGTTTGATTCTTTAATCCGTAAAAATTTAAAGCTGTCTCAGAATATCAAACACCCTTCCTCCAATGAAGAAGGTTATTTGAAATGGGGATAAGAGAACATACCCCTGGAATTACATCAATAAAACTCTTTCATGTATATCAAGTAGCTGGCAGGCAATGGGT